CCGCGCCGCGCAGCAGAAGCCGAACCAAACAGGCCGTTAATGTGGATGGGAGTTGGACTTTAACTGTTGCTGGGATGGGTGGCATTTTTTGAAATTTTATGGGAAGCTGCCTTTGTTATTTTACCTCGCTGGTTTATGCCTCGTCACCTCTGGAGGCGGAGTGTTACTCTCTATGGAATGCATTAAATATTGTAATTCTTTTTCATTACCATACTTTACATATTGAGACGAGCTCTAAGGTACTCTTTAACATTTTCAATCAGATCACACCCCCTTTCTGGAATGTCATTTGTTTGCTTAACATGATACAAGATTATATAAAAAAGCACAATTGGTTTATACAAGTTGATTTCATTTATAGGGAATGTAATTCTGCTGCTAATTGGTTGGCTAAGCAAGGTTTGCAAAGAATTATGGTGGGGGTTTTGCCTCCGCCTCACCTTCAAACTCTTCTAAACGGGGATTTAATTAATGTGCCTTATATCCACATGCAAGCATGAATTTCTGAATCGATTGTAGATTTGATCGTTGTGAATTTTCCACTAGCATAAGAACATACTCTTTCTGAAGATCTAGGATCGTTCTTTGTCATCTTCCATTTGCATACTCTTCCCCATCCTTCCATGCAATCATCTGTTTCAAGAACAATATATGTGTTTGAAAGAGGAATTTTCAGGTCAGGAACCAAATCTTTTATTTTGCGAATAAGCTCCCAATCATGATCCTTTAGTCTTTTGTCTTCATGGGGAGATGTTTTCTGATACGAGGGTCCAAGAAGAACTCCAAGGTTCGGGATATAACTGCGAGCGTAGTTGAGAATTCCGAGCCAAAATCTCATACCCTGCTTTTCTTTTAATTTTTTATTAGGAAAATCTGCTATTTTCCTAATTATATGAGGTTGTAACTTGATCTTTTTCTTCCTAATGACTGCTCCAAGGAATTCTATCTCGTTTACAACTATCTTCGTTTTTATTGGTGATAGCACGAGTCCTGCTTTAACGATTGCAAGGAACTTCTCCAAATGTTCCTTATGCTCATTTTCATTCTTGCTAAAGATGATTATATCGTCAATGTAAACTGCAAGAAAATCAGAACAATTGTTAAAACTAAAATCCATTTTTCTTTGAAAAATGACAGACGCGTTCTTTAATCCAAATGACATGACTAGTCATTTGTATAATCCGGTTGGTGCTGTGAATGTTGTTCATTCAAAATTCATTAAAAATCCACTATCTCGGCAAATCAGAAGATATTCTTGAAACTCATTGTCATGTCCTAATCTCTTTTTACAACAAAACAGCCCAAAACAAACAATCTAGAGTTAGATGGCTTGCCTTCACCGATTTCATCAACGGGCTGGGGACCGCTGTCCACACACATGAACAAACTAACAAAAAAAAGGACGAACACA